ATAGATCACTAAGCATAACATCATCCTATATACCAAGATACAGATCTAACAGATTACTACATCAGCATAACATACTATCACATAACAGGATTTCTAATCTAATGCGCCGACCTTAGTGCCTTTGACCCATAAGTATAGTGAGGAAGACTCACCTCTCGATCTGAATAATAGCTAATGAGGTCCCGACTTCGAATCTCAGCTCTAACTGTGACCTATGCATCCAAATGACAAATTCTAAAACACCATCCAAAAAGCCCAAACTACTCCTTGGTCAAAGTCAACTGAGTCAACCCAGTCGAGTTAACTCAGAATGCGTATGCGGGGCATACTCTGAAGGTACATAGGGCCTACTCGAGCATTGACCACCATCGGGGAGGTTGACCACGTACGCGCTGCGTACACAGATTACGCAGGGCGTACACCTAGACTCCACAAAACCTAATTAAGAGCTTAATGCCTTAAGCTCCTACGTCCAACTTTCAGATCCATGGCTAAAATATCCTCAAGAGTCATAAAGTTTACAACTTTATGACTTTGCATGTCCATTAAGTGTTTAACTCAACATATTAATACGTTAAGACCTTCTACGTAGTGCATGTAGCAAAACCAACCATTAAGACTTCACTTTTATGACTCAAGGCCCTCCCAAAGGTCTAAAAGGACGTCTTAATGGTTCAAGAACATGACATGCTCAAGATTCACCATTTTGGGATCAAAAAGTGACTTAAAAGAGCAAAAGTCTAGATCTATAAGATAGAGTGGTATAGTTGCAAGCTTTTTACCTTCTGAAGCTTGCCAACAAGAAAGAAACCTCGGATCCCAAGTGCTTTCCTAACTTCAAGCTCTCCACACCACCCACTTCTTCTCCAAGGACACTTCTAACCATTCTAAAGGCTCCAAAATGCTCTCTTGCTCTTAGGATTGCTTGGGGAATCGATTTCACAGAAGGAGGCTGAATAAGAATGAGATGTGAGGCTATAATGATGCTTAAATATGAGTCAAACCCTAAAAATTAGGGTTTGCATGAACCTCACGTACGCCCTGCGTACGAGGTGTACACCCAACGTACTAAGGCGTGCCCTAGTACGCTTAGCGTACACACGTACGCTCAGCGTACTCCTAAAGTCCAAATTAACCAAAATGCCATTATGAGCCCTAATGCACCCTTTCTTTTACTTAGGGACCAATATGCAATAAATCTTAATATTAAGGTCAACAATGAAAATGTCTCAAAACAAGATGTTACACTTGGGCTGCAACGCATGTCACGTCGTGAGCTCTTATTGCTTACGTCGTGAGCTCAACCTAATTCAGCATCTTCATTTAATCACTCCTTACATCGTGACCCTTCCGTAGTCACGTTGTGAGCCTTGGTTTTACTCAAAAACATGTTTTTGACTCCTTGAAAAGGCGAGATGATGACAATATCAACTTAAGCGATTGTGAGCCAATATACTTAAAAAGGCGAGGTGATGGCAATATCAACTTAAGCGATTGTGAGCCATATAAATACAAAATGTTAAATTTTTTGTCGTAACTTTTGTATTTTCACACTGTTGGAAAATATAGCAGCCACATATTTCGAGCACAACTCTCCATAATATTTGTTAGTTTAAAAGATTTATAATTTGATGAATATATTGTGAAGTTTCATACTTTTGGCATAAAGTTAAATATCGGTCAATACCCATTCTCTAAAATAATTAATCTATGCATATTCTAATGTTCAACATTTTAGTAGTTAGCGTGCATTAAAATTTTTATGCTTTTGGTAATTAGACCATAATTTAAATAAATACCCGCCATTCTATCTACACCCATAGTAAAACCATTCAAAAAAGTCAAAAGCATTATTGGTCTAATCAAACAAAAAAGATAATAAAAAAAAATTATATATATCATTTTATATTTTATTCCTACTTATCTTCTTATAGTATTAAATATTAACATATGTCATATTTAATTACACAATTAATAAAATTAATAATCATTTCATCTACTTGTCACCATTTGATATGCTAAGAGGATAAATAGGAATAAAATATGGGAGTTGATCCGTACACAACAATTTTTCTACATACACAACAATTGATGTTTTAAAATGTTGTATTGTAAAACTATATAATGCATGAATTGTTGTATATGGCAAAAAACTGTTGTGTACGAATCACTTCCCAGAAAATAAGAGGATATTTAACTAACGATGATGATATTTGTACTAATATGTGAACGTGAAATTTTCCTTTCTTTTATTTAAGACAATTAAAAAACTTTATTTTCATTTTTTTTAATTTAGACTAATTATTTTTATATCAGTATTTATAATTATATAACTTTAGTTTCTAGTAATGTCTCCATACATTTTTTTTTACTTATTAACGTTATAATCTTTAAATTAAATTTTTTATAATAAAAATATATTTGTTAAAAACAATCATAATTTTTGTCTTTTATTATGTTTGACTAGTCTCGTATTAATAATTTTTGTCTTTATTTTCCATGTTTGATTAGGCTTGTATTGATTTCTGATTAGTCCTTAGACGATATGTGGTTGTCGCAGCTGTACCTAACTGTGTAACGTCGCAAAACTTTCAAATCAAAGTTTCATTTTAAAATCAAAGGAAGTCGTGTCTTTTATTTATAAATGCAACATTCGATTGTTTCAAAACATAAATCAGAGTACTAGTACAATGAATAGTGGGAAACATCTCATAATCATAATAGCAAATGTGATGCAATCACGTCGTGGTCTTCCCTGTACCATCAAAAAGATCTGCAACATTTAAACTTTAAACCGTAAACATAAAGTTTAGTGAGTTCCTCAGATACCAAAGACCATAGCGGGACTCGCCCAATAAACCTATAAATGTGTCTCGCCCAAGGGTCCCACCCAATAATTAAAACAGCAAGTCACTCCCATGTACATGACAAAACAGTCTGGATTTCAGGCTTAAACAGACCCGATACCTACAATTTGTATTCCCCTCTTTCGTTTGTGTTCGTGTTCGTTTATATTCATTTGTGTTCATTTATGTTTATTTATGTCCATTTATCCACTAAACGAACAAACATAATGGACATGAACACACCAAATTTCTTAACGAACGAACACGAACATTAAAAAATCTGTTTAATTTTTCGTGTTTATTTGTTTATCATTTAAAGTTAAACAAACAAATATGAACAAACATATATTCATGTTTGTTATACAAAATAAAATTAAAAGGTTGGATGTGTTCGACAAAGTAGTTGGTACAACTAATTTTTGTAGCCTTCATAGAAGAAGATTCAACAAGGATGATGCAGCATTTTTTTTTGTATTTTCTCTTAATTTGATGGTAAATATAAACATATTTTAATTTTATTATAAAAACATTTATATATAATATTAAAATGTACATGTATGTTTTCCGTTCTAAAAAAAATTAAAACTATTTAATAAGTTATTTTTTTGTATACTTATTTAAATTCATCAATTTTGATGTAATTACGTAAAATACCATATTTCGTTTCTTTATAATCAAAAATAAAAAATTTAAAATAAGATATAAAATAAAAAATCCATATATATATATATATATATATATATATATATATATATATATATATATATATATATATATATATCATAAATTAAAAAGAAAAAAGAAAACGTGATAAAAAAATTTGTAAACAAATAATATATAAAATAAAGTTTATTATTATAATATTGTTTAAATGTCATTTCAATTTGGGTGTCAAACAAAATGGTGATATTCACTTTTTAGAATATATGGTTTTGACCCATGTTTTAGGTGCCAATAAAACTAGTAGTGAAATAGATGGGAATATCAAGAATAATTGCTAAAGGGTAAAATGGATATTAAGGTGGTAAGAAAACGAAGGCCTAGATTAAGATGGTGTTTTTTTTTTATTTTATTTTGAACTTCAAAATGACTTAATAAAAAAAAACTTAATTTATGGTGACCAAAAAATAAATTTTTTAAAAGTGTTTGGATTACTTTAAAATGAATAAGCGAATAAGTTTTTTTTAAAAGTGTTTGTCTTAGCTTATATATATTTTTAAGGGGTATTTGTAGAACCTAAAAAGTTAGAAGAAATTTTAAAAAGTTAAAAATCCTATTTTATTGAAATCATTTTTAAAAGGTTAACCGGAATTTAGTTTAAAAATCAGTTTTATATGGTCAAACATTTTTTTAACTTATCCAAGCTGATAGTAATAAATTATTTTTAAATAAAATACCAAACACTATTTACTTCTAAATAGATCGGCAACTCATTCTTCTGATTTGTATCTTCAAGACTTCAGGTGGGCCAAGAAAGGATGGAACAAGACATATACACATTTTGGGCCTTATATCCGGACCGTATGGCTGCTTGACAGCTGAAGCCGAAGACATCCGCTAACCACATTTTTTTTTACAAAATTTCACAATTGGTTGTAGTTTACAGAATATCGCACTTTGAGGACTTCCTAGCAAAAAGTCACACGAATGGTCCTTAAGGTTTCAGTTCATTGCACGATTGGTCCTTGACCCTAACCCCGTCGCTTTTGTACCGTTAGTGCAGGGGTAATTTTGTCCAGGAAAATCAGATATTGCTATGTTTTCATTTGATCACTTTTTCACAACTCTCAAAATGGCAGCCTCTCTCCTTCTTCCATTATTCTTGTAGATTAGAACAACAATCCAAACACCCCGGTTGGAATCGTGTCTACCCTCTACTACCGAATTGGCCTTATCGATGTCTAAATCGAAGTTGAAGACTGTCGGAAATCGACCACCCCTTCTTGTGATTTGTAATCCACCACCGAACGCCTCCTAATTTTTTCCTTCATTCGTTTCATTGTCGCTCAGACGAAGACCACTACCTCTTTTTTTGTTATCCTTTCGTGGTTGCCAGAAACGAACAGACAAGAGACCGCCGGAGCAGCTCTTGCTGCCGTGGTGTTCGACGTCAATTGACTTCCTCCGTGTTTGCCTTCTTCGACCAGATAGGAGATGAAGAACCCTTCCCCCCCCCCCCCCCGATTCCTTCTTTCGTTCATTCCTTACTCGAAAAGACGAAGACCGGAGAATCCCGTTCCCTGTCCTTCCCCTCTTGTGTTTCAAGACGATCGGACCAGAAGAAGAATGGAGCAGCCGTGCGCTGCCGACCTCCCTCCTATCGCGATTGTTGAACCATCAAACCACCACTTGACTGCCATCACAACCGGCTGCTGCCTCCGATCTTCTCCCTTCTTTTCTCGATCGAACACCGCCGGAGGAGCTCCCATCGACAGCTCTTGTTCATCCCGTTCCCAATCTGATAATCAGATGAACAAAACATCGTACCCTTCTTTTTGTACATTTGGTGGTGTTGAAAAAACGAGTCCCCTGCATTTGTGATTTTATATAAAAATCAGTCTTTTGTTGAAGTCTTTGCAAACAAAGTTCCATTTGGTTATGGTGACTGCGAGATGAAAAGACAAAATTGCCCTTGCACTAACGGTACAAAAGTGACGGGGTTAGGGTCAAGGACCAATCGCGCAATGAGCTGAAACCTTAAGGACCATTCGCGTGACTTTTTGCTAGGAAGTCCACAAAGTGTGATATTCTGTAAACCACAAGGACCAATTGTAAAATTTTGTCTTTTTTTTAGGGAAGTTCTTATTCTAGACTTAAAAAAGATTTTGCGATTTCTGAAGAGGACTATATTCTTGAAGCCTACCAATCTCCTTAATTATATAATAGCCGCGCAAGGTAATAATTCTTACCCTCTTAAATCATTGATTGGAATAAAGTTAGGATCTTCAGCTTGTGTTATTATACGAGGGTGTTTGAGATTATTTTTCAGAATGACTTTTTGAACTTTTAGCTTTTCCAAAAAATTAAAAGTTTGAAAATGTGTTTGCCAATTCTAAAAGTCTTTTTAGAATGACTTTTTGGCAAAAAGAAAAATGAGTGATTTTAAAAGTGGGGAATTGTGACTTTTGGCTTTTTAGTCTTTGCTCCCTCAAAAGATAATCCAAACACATTTTAAAACTTTCTTTTGCAAAAAACTATAAGACAAAAAGTCATTTTATTGAAAAAGACTTTTTAGATTAAAAAGCAATCTCAAACACTACGACCAGGTTTAAATCATCATATATGTTACGATTAAGCCATCTGAACCATTTAACTGCATTAAAATGAAATCAAACATCAGGGATATTAATTTGACCTAAACACCCAAATTAAACTGAAAGTGAATTTAAAAATGAATGATATGAGTTCTATAGAAATAGCTACTTAATTGTTGTCTATAGTGATTAAACATTATAGATTTTCTAAGCGTTTAATTTTTTTTTCCTGGGTAACCAGTTTTGGAAAAGGTCAAAATACAGAAAAGTTCAACGTATTTTCTCTTTTTTATCAGTTTAGTTTAGGTACTTGAAGTCTCAATAATCAATTTTGAGTGTTTGATGAAAACTAAGTCTAATATTTCATTTTTTTTTATTATTTTGGGTCAAAATAATTTATTTTGGAGAAGTGGGTAAGGAGTTGCTTAAAGAAACTGATTATCGAATTAAACAGAAAATTACGTAACTCCTTGATTTTGTCTTGCATCAAACAAGATCAAGTGGATTCTTTCTCTTTCTTTCTTTCAGCATCATGTGGATTCTTTCTTGATTTTGTCTTGCATCAAACAAGATCAAGAATTAAAATTTTATTTTCTTTTCACACCAAAAATGATAAGTAACTCCTTTGCATTTTAGAATCATATATAGTTAATTACTGTGAAAAAGGGCCAAATGCAAGCAATAGCAACACATTTTCATTGATTTCTGTATTATAAATGAAAGATGTGTTTCTTGCATATAACCCTGTGACAAAAGCTGTAGAAAATGTGTTTTTTTTTTTCCACAAATTACAACAATTTCATGCATGATTTTGACTGGATGTTGACTATCTTGATTTATTAATGACAATAACAGGATTACGTGCCAACAGTTTTTGACAATTTTAGTGCAAATGTTGTGGTGGATGGGAGCACTGTAAATCTTGGATTGTGGGATACTGCAGGTTGATTCCTTAATTGATTATAAGTTGGTGTATATATCTTTTTTTAATAATTTTTTTCTGCTAAAAAAAGTTATGTTACTTTAAAAAAAAAAAAAAAGGTCAAGAAGATTACAACAGATTGAGACCTTTGAGTTATCGTGGAGCTGATGTCTTCATACTTGCATTTTCCCTAATTAGCAAGGCCAGCTATGAGAAAGTCTCTAAAAAGGTGATTCTGTTTTTAATGATTATATTGGAGTAAGTAAATTACAGAAATGGTCCCTGTGCTTTTTGATTTTTACCGTGTTTAGTCCAAAGCTGTAACCTTTTTTCAGTTTTGGTCTTCATTCTAAGGTCTTGTATCGATAATGGTCCTTATTTTAAGATTTTATATCGATTTTGGTTCTTATTTCAAGGTCCAGGGACCAAATCGATATGAAACCTTGAAATAAGGACCAAAGTTGGGAAAAATTACAAGTTTGGACTAAACACAGTAATATGAGAAAGCATGGAAACCATTTTTGTAATTTACTCTTGATATTGCTTTTTAAATTTTAAATGCAAGATTTAGTAATATACTTCCATAGATTTGGTTTATTACAACATCTCTTTTTTTTCTTCCTATTTTTGTATTGTACTTTGAAGAATCTATCAACTTATAGCAATATTCTCTAAATACAAAGCAACTTTAACCCTTTTATTATCAAGAGTATATTCGGTGTATCATTTCGTTAATAAAATATTCTCTTAATTAACTTATTACTATTCTAAGTTTCTAACATTAACATCCAACTTATTCGAAGTATTTGTTTACTAAGTTGTGTGTATTCATGAAATTAAATTTGGAAAATATGAGTAAAATTGTTCATGTAATAATTAATGGATTTGTTGTATATTTGTTGAAATTTTCAGTGGATTCCTGAATTGAGGCACTATGCACCAGGTGTTCCAATCATCCTTGTTGGAACAAAGCTTGGTTAGATTCTGTTGTTTCAGCAAAACAATGCAGAAAAAACAGAATCCAAATGCAGCAAAATAAACCTTGACAGCAATTAACCTTTATGTTTGTATTCCCGTTTTGCCCTTAGACCCAAGAACAAGCAATGACAACAACCAAGATAAAGAAAGTAAATAGAGAATGAAGAACAACAGATTTAACGTGGTTCAGCAATAACCTGCTTACATCCACAGAAGAGAG